AGCCCGGTGACATTGTCTCCAGAAGATCATCCCTGGCCAAGCCCACCACCGTGTCCTGATGCGGCCCACCCTGAGGTCCCCCCTCGTGGGCCGCAACCCCAACCAGCAGCCCTGTTTCCCCATCAGTTGTGCTGCCAACATTCCTCCCACCATCCTGATCCTCCAGGAGGTTGGAGAGGAAGCTAATGTACTTCATAGCAAGCCGCAAAATCTCGTTTTTGCTCAGCTTCTTGTCTGGGGGGTGAGTGGGGATGAGTTTACGAAGCTCGGCGAACGCCCCGTTTACATTCTGCTGCCGCCAACGTTCACGACTGTTGGTGAAGATACGACGTACAATCTTTGGCTGGCCAGCTAGCAGAGGAAAATGGAGGAAAAAAAGACAGAGAGAGTAAGGAGACAAAGCAGTGATACCGACAGCAACACTGAATGTGAAATGCTGAGCCGAAACAGAAAATGTGGTTTGTAAAACGGTAAAGCAATACAAGTACAAAAATAAAAGTGGAGGAGCTAGCAGCGGGAGAACAGATGCACAGATCATTTTGGGGGGAAAAAAAAATCTAAACCAACAGAGTTTAGCAATCCTAAAGAATTACAAAATTGTCCTCCGTGTACCCATGTATTTGGAGATGATGGAACAGAAGCGTGCTATACTTTGTGTGTGATGTGATACAAGAGAAATGGCTGGTTTGGCGACGCAAACCCAAGAAAAAAGGTGTTGGGGAGACTGTGCGCTTCCCATTCAGGTTTCTGTGTACTTCTTATTTATTTAGTCATAATAAAATGCTCCACTGCAGGTAGGCATGTCCTCCCACCCCCAACAATGGTGTCTTCTAGGCTATTGTTGCCCTTGGAACACACCCAGTCTATCTTAATCCTTCAGCCCACTCTGCAGTAAAACCTTGGCATGGAGGCAGCAGCACCCCCATCCTCCACCCCTGTATATGGCAGTGAGTGGGCAGCAGTGGAGAGAATGTTTCAAATGAAATAAACCCCAAATCTGCCTGAAAAGGAGCTTTTAATGGCATGCAGGTACATGTATTTGACATTCAGATTAGCAGCATGTATTTATGCCATGAATTATGATGTGTTCATTCCTAAGGGGTTCAACACTTTCTGAATTTTTCTTTTTTTGCAAAGCAGCTTCTGCAACAGACAGATTGAGTACAGTATAGATCCATGTCAGTGGATGAATGACAATGGAGATGAGGGAGGGACGTTCAGGGGACTATATTGGCAGAAGGAGGACACAGCAGAAGTGCGTCTTACCATACTTATAAAGATCTAAAATGCGCCTACCCTCGTCGAGTTCAACCTCATAAGGCGCCGGGCGGCGCTTTACCCTGTTGCTGGGGTACATGCTGTACTGCTCCGACTCCCCTCCGAGACTACAGCAACAGAAGAGACAAAAGATGCACAGGTACATGGCAATACATGAATTCCATCATACACCATTTCCCTTTGCTTCAAGCTCTGTGTAGCTTTGCACCAGGATCACACACACACACACACACACACACACACACACACACAGTCACACACACACACATGGGCCAGGTTCACTATATCACACATGCACATCCTTAATAATGTAAACACAATGTGAACTCAGTTTCACCACAACTGTTTTTCTCTCCCCTGTTACTGTGAAGCACAAATAACATTCCAACTTGTAACTTTCAATGGAGAACACACACACTGATGATGCATCAATGAAACCACATGATTTTTCTGTTTCTGACTGCACCTTTACCTGTTGATGGCGGCGAGAGGCTGCGCCAGGTTGTAGAGCATCGCCCGGGCCGGGACAGGAAACGCGTTTGGGCTCAGTTGGACCATTCGAGCGTCGTCTCGTTGCGGCGGCGGCAGCGGCAGCGGTGGAGGTCTGCGAAGTTCCGTGATCGGCACCAAATGGCTCTCAGTCCTCTGCTCCACCGCTTTTATAGCGTCCCTCCTGGAGAGCTCGATCACCGGCACTTCCCTTTTCAGGTCAAGGGCGTTGTGAGAGGCAGTTTCCTTGGCAACGCCGTTGATGATGATGCTGATGCTGGTCCCGTTGCTCGAGTTCTGCAGAGGAACGTCATCCGTCTCCTCAACCCCCTTGAAGCTCCCTCCTCCTCCTCCTCCCCCTCCTCCCCTCTCATCCTCCTCCTCCTCAACCTCCTCCTCCCCCCTCCTCGGCTCCTCGTCCTCCTTGCATCCGTTCTGTCTGGAGATGATGGAGGAGTCCTCCCGCTTTCCAGGACCGGAGCCTGCGTCCGGACTTCCAGGACAAAGCTCCTGCTGCCGTTTTTCCATCATTTTTACACCTTCACCACTCGCTAGAGTCCACTGCGTCCTAAAGGAAACGTTAATTTGTCGCGCAGAACATTATTTGTGGCGGTCACTAACTAGAATATCAGATAAATAACCACGCATTTGTTGTTCTTGTAATAATTCACAATTTTTCATCATTATTATTAAGTTCTAATTGTTAAAACTAAAACAAAAATATTATCTGCTAAATAATTTCCAGTAATTTAAATAGTGGCAGTTGAAAGGTAATTAGTGGCTCGTTCGATTAATTGATTTTTAAATGATGTATTTCGTTCGATTTTTTAAAAATACAGCAAAAAAAGCTCGGACACATTTTACACACAACACTAAATTGATAGGAAATTACATTTAAATATCGTTCAGTTTTAATGGATTCTGCAATTTTTGTTTAATATCTAAAGTGTGTATGATGTAGTATATTCCTTACAGGATCATCATAGATTGCTGAAACTGGCAATTTCATTATAAATTACGAAGCTGGTCATATTTCTTTGAATCTATCATATTTAAAGTCTTGTGGTTTCTCAAGCCGTGCATGCTTTTTTTTTTTTTTTTATCAAACGTCCTATGAAGCTCTTATCTAACGCTTGCTGGCCTTCAGTTTATACCGTTAAACTGCATTTATTCCCACTGGAATATTTTAAAACCGATTTTATTTTATTTTGCCTGCTGTTTATTTTTTTTAGCTGGATTTCTTGTGGATGCCAGAACTACGAAGACAGCTTGACAATTCGTCGAAATAAAAGCCCTCCTTTTTTTTCCTTCCTACCTTTAAGAAATCCAGAAAAACCTTCAAAAAAATCCCTGGATGGGCTGATTTTTGTATAAATATCCACAGAAGTCAGGAGTGTTTTTTTGTTTTATCGCGGTGAAGGCCATAACGCAGCCGAACATCAAAGGTTTGTCACACAGAAAACACACCACACGCCAATGTCAGCTGTTTTCCCGCTAATTAATTCGACAAACGTCTCAGAAATAGAATTTTTTTACCGCGCAGAAGACGGGTAATTTTAAAACAAAAACGCATTTAATTTTTTTTTCTTCCTTTTTCCTGGGAAATTCTCCAACAGGCCTCGCATCCGTTATTCCAACAGCTTCAACCAGCCCGATCGGACAATAGCAGAAAAAATCATACACATATCGGCTAAATATTTCGCTCATTATAGCGATAAAACGCACACGACAACGGCCAAATTACGAGCAGCAACAAATGCGGTGGTTTAAATGAAGAGATCCTTATTTTTACGCACTTACCGTTTCCAGCCGTGTTGTTGATGTTACTGTGTAAGTGGAGCCATTTTGTGAGTGGGTCATCCATGTCTGAGGTTTTTTTCTTTTTTTTTTTTTCTTCTTCTGCCAGTTGTGGAGCAGCAGTGTGTGTATGTGTGTGTGACTGTGTGTATGTGTGTGTGTGTGTAGCTGAGTTATTCCTCGCCGCATCCAGCGCGCTCCCTCAGCACGGGGAGCGGAACACAGGCCGCAATGTGGCCGAGCGAGATAAGCGCACGGCAGCGGCCTCTTCATTCCTGATAAGCGCCTAAACCCATTATTTATGAAATGATTCATTATTATTTGGCTGTCGTGGGCTATATAGTCTTGTGGAGGGCAAAGCATTAAAAAAAAAAAAAAAAAAAAAAAAGCG